AAATGGGCTGAGACTCGGATAGCCAAGAGTTACAAGTTCTCGAACATTATTTATTATGACATTTTTCTCCAAAAAGGAGTTTAAAAGTAGAGATAAAATGCATTCAATCCAATAGAAGAAAAGAAAGCAGAGCATCAGAAGGAGAACACTTTGGGCAGCTAAGATCTCAGGAGGAGTTTTGTAGAGAAACTTGGAGCTCTTCAGGTGGAGAACACGCTGGTGGTGCTTGTGGAGAAGAAACACCATGTAGACACTGGACCCACCCATGAGACCCTGAAACACAGCATCCCGTAGGACCATAAGAGTGAGAAAAAGCCATCTTATTTTTGGATTTTTTAGTTCAAAATCACAAAGGTGGTCACTCTTAGTGAAGTTTGACGTGTTCATTCTGGTGCTTTTGATGTAATGAAGTAAGTTCATGCCTATCGAGGAATTGAGAACCCAGAAGAAGAGAAGCAAGGGAAGGATGTGCCATGTAGACCTGGGCTGGAGCCTCCTCCCCCTGGAGTGTCTGGGACTCATGATGACAGCCTGGAGCACTGTGAGGAGACTGGTGGTGCAGATGGAGAGGCCCTGGGCCACTCTTTGCAGGTAAACAGCAATCTTACAGCTTATGTCATCTAGAAAGTTTCTCAAGAAAAACACTGCTACTGTCTTTGACAGACCATTGAAAAGAAGCATCATGATGTTTGTAAAAGACAAATGGATGAGAATAAGGTACATACATTTCTTCTCAGTGCCCGCCAACATGAGCGCATAACTCACAAAAACAGAGATGTTCCCCATAGTGCCCAGTCCAGTTAGAAAGGCAAAGACTGTTTCCCTGACAAGGTTCAATTCCATTTTCACTCCGTAAGCAGAAAAAGTGGATCCAGCAAGTATCTTGTGAAGAAATCATCAGTAACGATGTGTATCTGCAAGAAATATTTCATGTTATAAAAATTTTTGGAGTATGAAAGACAGTATGATATATATGCAGATTTTTGTTCAAAGAGTTTTATTTCCTTGGGCGTTTTTCCCTGTAGACACAAATGTCATATTGAGGACTATTGCTTACATCTGTAAGTTTTCAGTTCAGGGTTTTTTTTTAGCTCCACACTAAAAACGCATTCTATTTGTTCATATTATTATACAGCCCACCTATGTCCATTCACAGCATTGCTGAGCTGAGCCCAAGGTTCTTCAGACTTCTACTTTCTGTTTCTGTGTAACATTGCCATCATTCATTTCCAGAAGCTTGGCTTTCTGATTAGCCTATCTGTCTTTCCTGCATCCCACAGAAGGCACCTGTAAACTGCAGCTTCAAACTGGTCCAAATTCTTAGTATTTGAAATCTATTTCTTAGTCGCTTTGTACTTTAAATTCCAACTGATTCTGTGATTTAGTTGCTTACAAATATTCAGTAGCTTTTTAATTTGCTGTCCTCAATATCCAATTAAATTGTAGAACCTTTTGAAAGAGGATCCAAAAATTAAAATCTGATCAGTCATAGATACCCTATAGATAGTCTATTACCAAAAAAAAAAAAAAAAAAAAAAAAAAAAGCAGATAATTGGCAGTAGCCAGGACAATGCACTTAGAAGGGCCATGGTACAAACTCTACAAAATCTTAGGAGAGATCTGAATTCTCATGGGTGAGCTCAGGGCACTGTAAGGGTGGCCTAGATAAGATGTGTAATGTCTGCCTGTCATAAATTAAGATCAATTTAGTAAGTATGGATCATGAATATTGGGGGCATATAGCAAAACAGATTGGGTTAGTAGTGATGTGAAAAGAAGAAGCGTATAAGATAGCATGATGCCATTTTACAATTATTGCATGAACTTGGGAGAAAGTACGCTGGAGTTGACTTTGCAGACTGCTTTTCCTGTATCTTTTTTCCCAATTTGTTTTAAAAATAGAGCTTCTTTGTTCTTTGTTTTTTTTTGTTTTTTTTTTTCTCTCTGGTACTTCGAATGGAACTTACGACCTTGCCCTTGATAGGCAGGCGCCGTGCCGCTGAGCTAAATCCTCAGCCTCTCTTCTTTGTTCTTTATAGATTCAAATATACATATTTTTTTCACTTCTGGCCTGAATAGGATTTTACTCCTTCATGTCTAAGAGTAGTAATGCCATTTTTCACTGATAATTGATGCCAAGTGTGGACAATTTCTCCAGAATAAAATAAATCAGATGTGTGATGCAATTCATGGGGTTTGCACGTTTCATATATACCTGCAGCTCCTTCCTGTAAATCTTTCTTCTGTACTTTCTACAATATATTAAAAATTGTTTTATTTCTTTGCTCAGAAGGCCCCTGACATTGTGAGCCAAAATAACAAAGGCTTGGACAAACCTAGGTTTGACACTGGGGAGCCTCAAGGCCATCGGCTATTCCCTGTCCACCTCCCCTGAAAAAAGGCACTCACTGCCTCTGTCAAAGCAGCAAAGAGGGGACTCCGTCCTGCCCAATATGCAGTGAAATATGTAATAAGCTTTGTCACGGGCAGCAGCAATGATTAAAAAGCATGGGATAAAAATTAACTACTGACTCAGATTTGGAATTTGTTAAAAATCTCTTGCTGCTTTGAATACATCCTCATACCCTGCTGTGCTTTTCAGCTGTTTCCCTTGTTGTTTGCTCATGAGTCTTTGTTCCAGGGATTCCCATTTCCTCTGCCTGCTCTTCGTTTCCCCAAGTCTAAGGTCAGACTTGACTCTGACTCAGTGTTGCTCTGAGCCCTATTTGAGACCAGTTCAGAGACATTAACTAAAGGGCTTCTCTTTCTCTGAGTGAAGTGAAAACAGCAGAGGAGTGAGAGGCGACTAGTCACCCAGATTCTCAGCAAACTGCTCAGGAAGCTATTTTCAAAGAGAAGTGCTGAATCCGGGCAGATGTGAGATGCCCATCTGGCTATGACACATAAGTGCTTAGGC